ATCATAATGGTAGTAATTTTTTATTTATTTCATCTATAAATAAGGGATTTTATAGTGATTTAAGAAAATTTATGTCATTAATAAAATTCTTATTATAATACTGCCAGGTCCTAAATCCTAGATAAGAAAAGTGGAGAGTTAGATTAGGTAGTCGGCAGCTAGTGTAAAACTTGTCGAATAATCATGACATGAATTCTTTAATACATTGTGTTAATGCTAGGACGTTCCCTCAAAGCGATGCGCTGCATGACCTTAATACAACGACAAGTGTGGAAAGGCTGCTACACCATTGCCCGCGTGCAGTATTAAATAGGTAAGGGTTCCCACATCATGGACGGATGTTGGCAAATAAGCTAGTCCATGTAACTAAAATTAGAATAGGAACTTGGAATATAGGTTCTCTTATATGAAAATTAATGAATTAATAAATATTACGATTCATAGAAAGATAAATATTATATGCATTCAGGAAACTAAACGAGTTGGCAAGAAGATTAAGGAGATTAATAGTTTACGATTTAAATTATGGTATTCTGGTAAGAATTGTTCTAGAAATAGTGTATGTGTGATTATAAATAAGAGTTTAAAGGATAATATTATAAAAAATAATAGAATTGGAGAGAGAATTATAGCATTACAGATTGTTGTTGATGTTAAGATCATTACTATTATAATTGCTTATGCTCCTCATGTAAGTTTGGATGAGTTCAAAATTAAATTTTTGGAATGATTTAGAAGAATTAATGCAAAAGATACCTCTTGAAGAAAAATTTTTTTTTTGAGGAGATTTAAATGGACATATTGGTAGAGACGTAGATCATTTTAAAAGCATTTATTATGTCTATGGGTTTGGAGCGACGAATGAAGGTGGTAAGACAATATTAGTTTTTTTCTTTAGCTTATGATTTTGTAATTGCTAATACTCTATTTAAGAAAAAGATGAACATCTCATTGCTTATAAGTATGTATATAATAAAATTCATATTGATTATTTTCTGATGTAGACAAAGGGGGGGTCAACCCTAGTCCAAAATAAATCATATTTTGGCTTCCCTTGAGTCTAGTAGTTTTTCATATTTGAGCTAAACTTTTAGTTCATTTATGAGCTGAACTTTAGTTCATTTATTGAACTAAGGGTTAGCTCATTATGAGCTAACATTTTAGTTCATTTATTATCTTTTAATTAATATAGTTTTATGTTTTTTATGTTTGTTTAATGTTTGTCTCTTGGAATTCCAAACCGGCCTTTGGAATTCCAAGATTTCTTTTTCTATGGTGGCTCCTTGAATTCCACCATTGCTTTTTAGTTTTTTGTGAATGCCCCTTGGGATCTCACGGCTGGCTCCTTGATTCCGTGTCTGCCCTTCGGTTCCCGCGGCTGTGGCTCTTTGATCCGTGCGGTTCCCTTCGTCTCCCGTGGCTGTCTCCTTGGTTCCTGGTTTGGGTGTAAACCGAGAGCTTTGGGGAGAGATTTCTATGCTTTTAATTATGTGTTAATTAAGTGTTTGTGACCTTTTGTATTCCCCTTTCATACCTATAAATATGAGGGGTTATGTAATGTTTTGAATAGTTGAATGATATTTGATTTTTGGAAAAAATCAGTTAACCTGAGGGTTGCTCGGAAATCCTGCGGGCTCTTTCCAACTTTTTTTTTCTCATCCCCTCCGGAAATCCTGCGGGCTCTTTCCACCCTTTCTTCTCGGGCTTCTAATCTCTTCGTCTCTCTGCAAGTGCCACTCCACCTGTATCCTTCTTCTCAAAGTGCAGCAACTTTAAGGTGTCTGTCGTGTTGTTTGTAAGTCGTCGTTGTAATTTCTTTTGTTTAATTTTATTTGAAATATAAGAGTTTGTTCTTCCCTTTAGTTTGTTCGTCTCTTTTCTAGTCTTTTCTCATTTTTCGTCATTAGAAGTCCGTCGAGTCTCTTTGTGGGCGAAGGGTATAGGCTCCCTATATCTTTTACCCGCATCATTTTCTTATAAGAAAAATAGAACATTTAGATTGCAAATATTGTAAAGTAATTTCGTGTGAAAATTTATGTACCAAATATTGTTTATTAGTTTTGGACTTTTAAATGAAGGTGCATAAAATAACAAATAAAGTAAAACATTATTTTAGGATTATATGTGAGGCTTTTAAAAAATATTAACAAAAATATTTTTGTGAGTAAGATACTAAATCTTATAATTTTTTCTATCCATGAGGAAGCTAATGTTATGTGTGAAAATGTTGTTAGTGATATTAAAAATGTTGCAAAAGATGTGTTTGGAGTATTAAATGGAAAAACTCCTAATAGTAAAAGTAATTGGTGGTCGATTCAAAATATGCAAAAAAAAGATAAAAAATAAGAATATTTGTTATAAAATTAGTTTAAATGTACAAATTCTGATAATTGGAAAAGATATAAATATGCCCGTAAGGATTAAGGAGTTTAAGAAAGCAATATGCGATGCAAAAAATTTTAGTTTTTAATTATTTATACAATAGATTAGACGGTAAGGAGAGCAAAAGATATATGTATAAGTTAGTCAATCAAAGTGATAAGAGTAATAAAGATTTAGTTCAAGTGAAGTGTATTAAGGATGAAGATAAAAAAATACTTTTATTCGAATATGATATTCAACAAACGTGGATGGGATATTTTTCTTTACTTTTCAATGAAGATTATGAGAATGTCATTGACTTTAGTGATCTTAGCACCCTAAATGAAAATAAAGATTTTTATTTTTATCTACGTATTAGTAAAATCGAAATTAGAGAGGCTTTAAAGAATATGAAGTGTGGAAATGCTTTTGGACCTGATGATATTTTAATAGGGGTGTGGAAATGCATAGGAGATAAAAGAATTTCTTGGCTTACTAAACTTTTTAATATTATTTTGAAGACTAAAAAGATGCCAAATGAGTAGAGAATGAGTGTATTGATTCCTATTTTTAAAAATAAAGGCGATGCACAAGATTGTGTGAATTATAGAGGAATTAAGTTAATGTGTCATACTTTAAAACTATAGGAGAGAGTTATGGAGAATATATTGCGGCGTGATATTAATGTTTCTCAAAATTAATTTGGATTCATATCAGGTTGGTCTACTATTGAGGTTATACATTTATTGAGGGATTTGATGAAGAGTATAGTGAGAATAAGGAGGATCTGCATATGATTTTATTTGTTTTATAGAAAGCGTATGCTAAAGTTCCAAGAGAAGTGCTATAGAGAATTCTAAAAAAGAAAGGGGTTAATAATGCTTATATTCAAGTCATTAAGAACATGTATGCATGAGCTGTTACTTGTATTCAAACACATGGTGGTTTGACCAAGTATTTTCCTATTTCAGTTGGATTACATGAAGGATCAGCCTTAAGTCCATATATTTTTGCTTTAGTCATGGATGTTCTCACTAGACATTTGCAAGAGGTTGTACCCTGGTATATGCTTTTTGTTGTTGATATTCTTCTTGTTGATAAGACTAGAGAGGGAGTTGAAGTTAAACTTGAATTATGGTGTTCAACCTTATGTCTAAAGGTTTTTGTTTGAGTAGATCTAAAACAGAATATATGGAGTGTAATTTTAGTAATGATAGATCTAATGGGGAGATTGTGAGTTTGGGTGATCAAGTCATTAATAAGAGTACATGTTTTCGATATCTTGGGTCTATTGTTCAGAGTGATGGTGAATTAGATGGGGATATTATTAGTAGAATTCAAGTTGGATGGTTGAAGTGGAGGAATGTATCGGGCTTGTGCGATATAAAACTCTTCAAATTTAAGATAAAATTCTATATGATGTTGTTTAGAACCTGCAATGCTTTATGTTGCAGAATGTTGGCCATTTGAAAAAAAACATAATATTAAGTGAAGTGTTGCAGAGATGAGGATGCTTAGGTGGATGAGTGGCTTTACTCGTAAAGACATGATAAAAATGAACATATATGTGTAAAGGTTGGAGTAGTTCTAGTGGAAGATAAGATTAGAGAGAGTCGCCTTAGATGGTTTGGTCACATAAAACGGCAGCCTTCCGATGAACTCGATTTGGAAAGTAGATGTATTAGATTTGACTTATGTGAAGAAAGGTAGTGGTAGACCTAAAAAGATTTGGTTAGAAAATATTAGAAATGATCTTTTTTTATTAGATTTAAATGAGAATTTAACTCTTCACAAGACATAATGTAGAAAAAATGATTTATGTAGCCAACCCCACATAGTAGGATAAATGTTTGATTTTATTGTTGTTGTAATAAAATTCTTATTATGGATATAGCGATCCTTCACCGTGTATTCTAGGAAAAAATCATGTGTAAGGCTTGAAACCCTTGCGGTAGAGATTATTTCAATTTTCAAGTAGGCCATTTGCTTATCTTGTTAATTTTATTCTATTTTTGTTTTGTTATTAATTTTAGATTCCCGAATTAATAGCTAGTTTATAGATTTGTTTTTTTTTATAGTTATTTTTCTATCAATTTATGCCCAACAAATTTTACATTTTCATTTTTTCATGTATATTTAAGTTATTTAAATACTCTATTTCAAAATTATAAAAAAAAAGTTATTTGAATGCATTTTAGATTTAATTATTTTATTAAGCTAATTCTAGTTTATTTCTTCAAGTTTGTTATCATTATATTTGTAATTTATTATTTGCTTCATCTATAAATATGGGATTTCTGAGTAATGCAAGAAAATTATGACATTAATAAAATTCTTATTGTGGATGTAATGGCCCTTCTTCATGTATGCTAGGATTTTGATTTCCTGAATATTTGTGAGGCTTGAAACCCTTTCGGTAGAGATAATTTCGGTGTTCAAGCACAACATTTTCTTAACTAGTCAATTATATTACAATTTTCTTTTTTTCTTACTTTCTTATTTTCTCAAGTTTTTTGGAGGCCTAACATTGATATTTATTAGTATTTTCAATGTTTTTATTTGATGTTTTTTCCTGTCCTTATTATTGTTTGGTTTTACTTGACCGATTTACATGATGTGCATTCTTTTATATGTTGCAGATTTTACACATTTCCGAGGTTGATGTTCGAGAAACAAAAATGATGGGATCTACTCCTATCATTGTTCTTGCTGTATGAATTCCTATAACTCTTCCATCACTGCACCGTTGGATCTATTCCTTGTATTAGATTTAACATATCTGGAATTATTTGTCTTGAACTTTATTTGGTTGCAGTTTCAAACACAACAGATTTATTGTGTTCGTGATAGACAAGGATCAATCACGTCTGGTGGACAGGTAAATTTATTTTCCTCTTTTTTTGCTTTGAAATGAAATTTAATGCTGCACGGTCTTAAGTATGGGATGATGAGGCTGGACATGCACTCATCCCAGCCCATAGTAAGCCATGTTTGCTGTCTTTCCAAATAATGCGTGCTCAACGAACATAGAGTAGGAAGATAATTTCTAATTAGTAATTACTTTCTTCTTGAGTAGATATAAACTCTACTGCTATTTTTTAAATGCTCGTGGTTAAAAACTTGGACCCAAGTTGTCATCTCGTTGTCATCATCTTATTTTATCTTTTTTATAATGGAAGAAAATATACACAATAGTTTGAACTTACCAACTAATGATAATTTGTCTCCGTATATCTAATTGAAAAAAAAAACCAATTGAAGAATCAAATTCAATGGAGCTCAAAAAGAAGCATTACAACGATCAAAATCAAAATACAGAAAAAGCCAAACGGCCAAAAGACTTGAAAATGTCCATATGATCAAAATTCAGCCAACACCGTTAAGCAGCTGAAATATTAGAACTACGATCAATTAGCAAGTGAAAGAATGTAGATGCTAATAAAATGGCTAGTATAGAAATCCAATCAGCTAATAGAAAAAAGTTCCAACAACAAGCATTAGTATATCTCTCCCAGTAGATCAGTAAACCTCCCCCATTAATGTCAATCCAATAGAGAATTATATGCCTCTTCCAGCGATGGGGAAAACTATTATATCCATAAGATAAAGTGCTTAATCAAACAAAATCGAAAAATCTGTACTTTAATCCGATAGTTGAATACCAATAATCTGTTAATATGTGTAGAAAGATGCAAATATAATATTTTTAGTCCATGTGGAATCTGATTGTGCAGATCAATCGAGTTTTACTGTTGCTTCCTGCCTCAGCACAATATGTTGTACTCGTTGGGTGGTGCGGGAGGTCCTCCCCCTGCTTGGGTTCGGGTGCAAAAGCACCTGATTTTTTTTTCGTTCGACACCCCGACACTACAGATTTCGCTAGGAGAAACGACATAGAGCAGAGGGCCGCAATGCTCTAGATTTGGCGTCACAGCGCTAGTGCCGTAGCGCTGTGGGTTTTTGAGCGCCTTGGCATCATGATGTCAGAGGCTTAAGCGCCGCAGCACTATGAGGCGGATTGAACAATTTGCTTTCTCGTTTTTCTAAAGGGTGGCGTTCCTTCGTATTATTTAATTGACTTTCTATTGTGTTTTGAGTGAGAACATTGCAAGAGAGTAGAGAAGAAAGGAGGGAGCGAGAGAGAAAAGAGATCTATACTTTTTTCTTCCAATTTTCATAGTGGATTTCTTGGTGTGGTGTGTCGCCGTAGCTTTCTTCCGATTTTAGATTTTCCACGTTAAATCCTGGTGTCCTTTATTTTCCGCTGCTTTTACGTGTTTGTTTGGCTGCAGTGTTTACTTCCATCCCCAACAAATGTGGCTGGGCTGTGGTGGGCTTCACCGTCCAATGATGGCAGCTTTACTTTAGTTGATACCACAGCGGCCCTTAAAAATAATATTGTAGACTTGCTCACCTGATGGAGCCCTTTCACACTCTGAATTTGAGCTAAAGTTTTACGCTAGTGGAGACTTTGGTACCTTATTATTACCATTAGGTTTTGCTCAAAGGCATCATGATGTGAAACATGTAAGTAAACAAGAATTGCTTTTGGAAATTAACAATAATTTGAATTTTAACTTTGCTAATCGTAAACTCATGTTTCACCAAGTTCGATTCTTAGAAATTTTTGTTAGAAGTTCAAGTAATAACAAGCGATTACAAATGAGATTAACCGGATACTTGCAAGTAACAACGAAAATAAGAAAGTAAAACTAATGGCAATGAAACAAATCTACGACTTAACAATGAGAAGTGTTCACCCTGAGTTCCCTCACTCTCGCTCTTGAAATTGGAGTCTAGCGCCCTAGGGCTGCCACCACAAGACAAGTGACGCGTAAGGTATTGTCCGCCGAAGAAGTAGCTAGAGGAGGGGAAGTTGATGGTCGACCGATGATTTGCCAATGTTCCATTGGTCGTTGCTTGTCAATTGTCTCGGCGAGATGGTAGAGTACGTGATTTACGTAGCCTTCCATTAAATCCTCGTATTCCCAGTCTGGATCAAAGAAAGGGGATTGCAAGATGTCGATTTCTCCTTGAGCATTCTATACGAATTCGTAGTCGACCTCAGAGTCGGCCATGCACTAATGGTAGATGGGCAGAGGAAGTTTGTCTTCTCTTCTTTTCTCTAAAGCTCATGAAAGAATTAGGGTAGCCAAGAGAAACAAGGGGAGAGGAGGAGGGGGAGGCCAAGGAGAGAGGCGAGGTTTGTGGATTATGTTAGGTTTAGGTTTGGGTTAGAGGAATCCCAAGAAATTTGAAATTAATTTCTGGTTTAAGTAATTTTGGAGGGAATCGAATTTGAAATTGATTTCAAATTCAAATAGGATTTAGGGCTTAAAGAAGAAAACCAAAGGAGTTGGGCTATAGGGGGGCTGGCGGCATCTAGAGAGAGGGAGGATGTATGGGAGGAGAATTAAGAGCTCTTCCTAAATGAGTTCTCTAATTTAGGAAAAGGATAATTAAATCAAATTCAATTTAAAATTAAATTGAACTTAGATTTAAAACTTTCCTAATTTAGCTTTTGTTAATTTAGGAAATTATTTGAAATTCAAAATTTGAATTTCAGATTGAGGTATAATTTATTTCCCAAATTATTTAGGCTATTTTAGGTAAGTGATAATGATCATTGAACTCATCATTAAAGGGGAAAGGAGGGTGTGGCCGGCAGGGGCTTCGGGGAAAAGGGTTGGTCGGCGGTTGTGAGGGCTCGACCGGTGGTTAGGGATGGGGAAGGGCTAGGGGTCAAGGGGTTGGATGATGGTGGAAAGGTGGCCAGCGGTTGGGGCGATGGGAGATTGTGGCCGGCGGTTTGAAGAGGCGTATGGGGTCGGCCGGTGGGGAGAAAGAAAAAGGGGAAGAAGAAGATAAGCCACGAGCCACGAACTCTTCCAATGACTGGTGGATATTGCATTCACTCTCACCTCGGGTTCTCTCTTCTCTCTAGTGCGCACACAAGAAGAAGAAGACAAATATCAAATTTTTATTGAATCATTCATTAACCTCATACAAAGCAAAAGACCTCTATATATAGGTCTCAATAATAAAGAAAAGAAGAAAAACTCAAATACTCTTGGGGCTACAATAAGAACTCACTACCCATAGGGGTAAACTAGGAAAACTGAAATGCAAAATAAATAAAACATAAAATACATCAAAAGTAAAGACTCTGAATCGTAGTCGTCGATCTACAATTCCGTCGATGGTACACATGTCAAAATCTCTGGCTGATGTGCTCACCATATCATTTTAGGTAGTACGTGGCACATGACCAGCAAAGCTGGATGAAAGTCTTAAATTTGGATTCATTCACCAAAAACACCAGCATGCTTATGCAGACTAAGTGTACATGTTGAGCGGTGAAAGTAAGTGTGAGAGTGACCAATAATATTGAAGAGCCTTAAGAGAAAAGGTTTATTAGAAGGTCTATGAATTGGATGCGATAGTTCCTACTTCCCTCAATCAGAGTAATATGCTGGATCAGCTTTATCATAATAACCAGTGTAGTTGCATTAGTTTTTTATCTTTATCAGACAAATGATTGTTTGATTTAGGATTTCAAGTTGCTTGTCAATGAAAAAGTTTATCATCATTAGTGCATCTCAAAGCATGTGTACAGCGGTGGGCATGTAAATTTTGAGAACAAAAGTGGAGTCTAGACATGGGTATTGGGTTAGAAATGTTTTAAGTGGAGGATCTTGCATAATAGGTGGGTGCTGGCAATGCAAGTAGGCTCCAAATGATTGCGTATGAGATACATTGTGCATAGTACAACAAGAAGAATGCTAGTTAGGCACTCTCAAGTCTCAACAATGAGTGCTAAGTGTTGGATGCTGCATTGTAGTGCGTGAGCATGATGCAATGTGCAGAGTGATGGCCCATCAACGTGGGTGTAGAGCAATGGCTAACAATAATACACTATTGGGGACGACAATGAGTGTTGATGAGCATTTCATATGATGAGTAGAGCAATAGTGTCTGTGGGTCTGCATTGCAACACATGATGAGTGTTTGAGGTTACATGTGATGCGATGTGTACAACTATGTGCTGGTGCCAAAGAAGGGCACAACGTTGAAACTGTGGGTGCAGACTGGAGTGGACAGCTACAATTTGACTCGATAGTTTTTGATGTAGGCAAGGGAGGGGGGGGGTCAAATCAAATCCTAAAATTTGGTTTTGACTTCTCTAGCTCATTAATATTTTGAGCTAAAAATTAACTCATTATGAGCTGTTTTTAGTTCATTTATTGAACTAAAAAGGTAGCTCATTATTATTTGGAGTTGGCTCTTTCTCTTCCCCATATTTCCTCTTGGCTTTTGGTTTCCCGTGCCTTGCCTCTTCTCCTTCCCTTTTGTCTTTTTGTTTTCTTGTGCTGGGTGATTTCCGTACTCTGCCCCTTGGGTTTCCGAGAATGGCTGTTGGTTTCCTGTGCTGGGAAGAATTCCCGTGCCTTTGGCACTTTGGTTTCGCGGTTGGCTTCTCAGTTCCGTGCTGGGCTGCTCGGTTTTGCGGTTTTCTGCTTGGAACCCGTGGGATTCCTTCTCTGTTTTTGCTGTGCCGTTTGGGGACTGATGTGGTGGCTGTTTGGGGGGAATTCCATGAGTTTTTCCCTGATTTCTATGCAGTTTTTGCTGTTTTGGGACAGATTTCTAGACTGTTTCTAGACAGAAATCTGGACTAAATTTTTGTCCTTTCAATTGCCCCTTTTAATTGAATTAATTAGTAGTTATAGTGGCTGTTTAGCTCCCCTTTCTTGCCTATAAATAGGGGCTGATTTGTATGTTTTAGAGAGAGTGAAAATGTTATTTTTGGAATGGAAAAACTGAAGGTTTTTCTTGGAAAAGCTCCAGAGCTTTGTCAACTACTTCTTCTTCTACTCTTTGAGAAAGCTTGCGAGCTTGTCTCCCTTCCGTCTCGGCTTCTAATCTCTTTCGTCTCTCCACAAGTTTCATTCCCCCAGTATCCTTCTTCTCAAAGCAACGATTGACAAGCAACTTTAGGTGTTTTTATGTTTCCAAGTTTGTAAGATGTTTATGTCAAAGTTTATGTGTCTTTTGTAAGTCCTTTTATAATATTAAAGTTGTGTTTTGTTTTGTGCAAGTGTTGTCGCTTTATCTTATGTAATTTTTGTAGTGTTTTGAGTATCTTTTAAGTTATAGGAAGAGTTTCATTTGCTTGCAAAAATTTGGGGCCCTCTCCCAAATTTTTACGTGCATCAGTTTTGGGCAAAATTGTAATGGCTGTTAGGAGTAGATGTGTGCATTGGCTCAATTGGGGAAAACAACATGTGCATCTAAACACACATCACAACTGTGAAACAACTAAATATTGATTAAAATGCAATAGCACAATTTCAGTGAGCACGTATTAAGTAGCAACATGCAAAAGAAGTGTTTAAGAAGTGAATGAAGGGAAAGTTCAAGGTGAAGAGACCTTGAAGATTGTGAACATTCACTCTGGTATTAATTGACATAGTTGCAATTTGATTGAGATGGAATTGGATCCCATCTCCTACTTTTGCCATGAATCTCTAATGGGTAATGGAGGTGGGTGTTTGTCTCCATGGTTGATGGTTAGCTCACTTTGCCTTGGAAGGGGAAGATACATGGTGGGGAGGAAGGCTTAGTTCTCTGAGCTTGATGGAAATGGTTACGCTAGCTATGAGAGTTTGGAGATGAGGGACCTTGGGTGGTTGTGTTTAGTTGCCTTTGAGATGAATGAAGGGGTGTTTAACTAGGTTAGGAGGTAGAGATGAGGAGAGCTTGATTATGCCATGAGGGACCTTGGGTGGTTGTGTTTAGTTGCCTTTGAGATGAATGAAGGGGTGTTTAACTAGGTTAGGAGGTAGAGATGAGGAGAGCTTGATTATGCCATAATAGGAAGTAGATGAAATAGTTAGGACAATGTAGAGAAGGGGTTTGCGATTAGTTTAGTGGTGTAAGTAAGCCGAGCTGGTTCACGACTTATTAAGAAGCTCACGAGTCGAGTTCATCGAGCCATTAGTTCGAACTCAAGTCTATACAACGAGCTCGAGCTTTACCGGGCTCATCCCGTAAGCTTAATGAACCGCTTGATTAATTTAAAATATATTTATAAAATAATTTAAATTAGCATTATATACTATATTTAAACTTCTTAAATTAATTACATTAAAAAAATTCTAAAATACTAAAATTTTAAATTTAAAACTAAGAAATTAAACTCAAGAATCAAGTGGTCAAGCTCGAGCTTTCCAAACGTGCTCGAGCAATCGAGCCAAATTCAAGCCTATAAATTTTTTAACGAGTTAAGTTTGAGCTTAGTAAATGAGCTCGAGTCGAGCTGGACTTCAATAAGAACTAAACATGCTTAGTTTGATTAGATAAATACTCGACTAATTTACACCCCTAGATTAGTTAAAGAAGAGAAGCTAGAATTATAGAGGTCAAAAAAGAGGTCCAATTGGGTATGAGGAGAGGTGAAGATAAGAGGGAGACAGATTAGAAGGGGAACACGTAATTAGCATTTATATCATCATTCATTGTCCTCAATAGTTTTGTAAAACATAAAGACAAACATATGGAGAAACGAAAAGAAAGAATAACATGTTGGAAGTACATGACATAATGACCACTAATTATGGTGAACTTATAATATTAGGGAAAGTTGTCACAACTTGGCCAAGAGGCTTGGAATACTGAGGCAACATAGCGGATTAAGTTTTTTAAATTTTATTCACTGACATTAAATAATTACAAATTACATTCAACACATTGAAAGAACCACTAAAATTAAAAAAAAAAAAATCATTTTAAGTTAAAATATAAGCATTGAAAGTAAATATCTCTCTTGTAGTGTCATGTCTTCGAAACACATTTTCTCTTCTTCCATTCATTTATTTGTCAAGATTTTATGTATATACATTTAATAAATAATAGGAGTGAGCTTTAAAGCAACTTAGTGAATGCGTCATATTTATAAATTAGAGTAACATGATGGTATATTGAAACAACATGGATACTTGCTTTAAAACATGGAACAATCCAAAATCATTTGACAGTTATGTTTATTGAAAGATGAAATTATAAGAAACTTTAAAACATTCAATATGATACTAGTAATATTAGTAAGCAGAAATGATATTATATCTTATTTGTCAAGATTTTACTTATATACATTAAATAAATAATAGGAGTGAGCTATAAAGCAACTCAATGAATGCATCATATTTATAAATTAGAGTAACATGATGGAATATTGAAACAACATGGATAATTGCTTTAAAGCATGGAAGAATCCAAAATCATTTGACAGTTATGTTTATTGAAAGATGACATTATAAGAAACTTTAAAACATTCAATATGATACTAGTATTATTAGTAAGTAGAAATGATATTGTATTTTATTCTATGTATTTTGTAGATAACACAACGGTCACAGGAGCTACCGTCAAAATAGTAATAATTAAGATATTTTCTTTTTTATTCTCTTTTCCAAAACCTATTGCAACTTAAGCATGCCGATACATTACATCCTCTTCTAATATCATAAAGAGGTGTATTCCATCAATCAAACATACATATTCAAACATTTCTATATAAGTCATTTCATTTACATTTTCCATCACATTTAATATTTTCTTTATAACTAAGATTGAATGGCATATAATAAAACTGTTGAATTATAAAAAAATTATCATTCATTTCAATATGAAAGACCTTTTCTACCACGAAGTTGATTCACTTTAATAATGGTTGTATAAATAAATATCAATAACATTTTTATGCAATTGGTTTAGGAGAAACATAATATTACTATAATTTAGAAATATAAGTACTTACAGGTTTGGATGACTTATTGATTCACTTTAATTCTCACTCCGACTTCGATAGTTGACACTTATAATTATACATAATTATATATAGGACATTCTCATTACCATTATATAATAATTAAAGACAAAATTTATTTATTTAAAATAAAAGTTTATTTAAATGATAAATTTAATATTTTCTAAAGTTATTTTTAAAATATGAGGACATAAAATTTTATATTTAATTTTCTTAATAATGTCTCCTAAATTCTATTTGGTAATTTTATTCTAACTTTTATCAAGATTTATTCAATCTTTAACATCTATAAATCAGTATATTTTAGATACTAATAATTTAATAATTAATCATAAGATAAAATCTAGAGTATTATCTTAATTCAAAAACATGATAGAAAAATATCATTGATTTGAATATATTAAAATAAAATTTCTTATATCTATCCATTTGAAATTTTAAAGTTTATTTATTTCAATCATCACAATAGCTAGCTATCAAGTTTCAAATCTTACTCCAAGATTATAGGTGAATTGAAAATCTTATTGTAAAGCTAAATATTGTTTATCTTCACAATATAAAAAAGAAGAGTTTGGTCAGTCCCCTCGTATTAGACCAACTTATCCTGCTCACTTCTCGGTTGCTCGCCCCTGCTTAATTCTGATCATTTTACACGATTGCTCGCAATCTATCTCTCCGTCTTTGTCTCCATCTTTCTTTGTCTCTTGCTCTCTATCTTCTTATTCTTCTCCTGTTTTCCTCGTCTCTCTCTCTCTCAACTTCATCCGCTCAGCTCTTTTCCTTCTTATATTTCTTCTCCTGCTCGTTCTTACCCTTGCTTCCTCTCTCATTAGTACTCTTTGGTCACCCCTCCTGCAATTTTAGAAAACTGAACTGACTTTGGTCGGTTCAATAAGTCAGTTCAGTTGAATTTACACTAGCTAGTTCGATTTCTGTTTTCTTTCTGGAATTTTACAGGTTGATGCCTATGATGAACCAGATGCAAGGCCTGCTCAATCTTCACAAATATTATTACTTCTATGAAGGAAATCTTAAATTTGTAAAGCTTTTTAAAGTGAAAGAAGGAATTGGCTTGCTTCCCATTCTTATGATATTGATGTTTTCTATGATTTCCTTATCAAGAGCTCGAGATTTATTCGTATTTTATCTATTATGTAGGAACCAACACATATTTGAGCATTGATTTGCGTATAGTTACCAAGTTTGTCAATTATTCTAAATGATCATTATTATTTGTGTCTTCTGGCTTAATTTTTTGGGGTTGTCTTCTTCAGGATACAATCCAAACAGTGTATTATGGCTGGGCCATGCAACTGGTGGACACAGAAGAGCTTGGAGAAGGAGCATACTATCCTGTGTGGAGGCTACGAGAAATGCAACAACTGGGCGTTCAAGCTTTGATCTAAGAAATATTTTTTCTCTCATAGCCGGTAATTACCTTATTCTTTTTTTTTTCAAATTTAAATATGGGATGATTTTGGTGCATCCCTTGATCAAATTTCATAGCCATTTTAGTTTTTTTTTTTCAATATGTCGCAAGTTTGATGTCTTTAGTGATTGTTTTCTATGATCCTCCTGATTTGCCTGATGGCATAATCTTAAATAATCCTTTCTCGTCATCCTCCCTGTAAGCTCAGGCACAATATTTGAATGCTTGAGAATTTTGTGATCCTTTTTAAGAATGAATTATGTAATCTTTTTACAATAATAGACATGCCATTATCTTCTCAATGCAGTTTTTATTGCTCTGTTTCACATTATTATTGCCTAGGATTAACTTTTAATGTCTTTTTTCTTTTCCTGTAACAAATCTTTAATACGATTCTATCTCCTGGAATTGAACATTATGTTTATTTATTTTTGGATAAACTGAGGGCAAAGCCCGTTCATTCACTATAAAAAATAATTACATAGGTACAAGAGCAGCAAAAGGCAAGCTCAAAGAAAAATTTTATAAGAGTAATTATGAGCTGCAAAAAAAATTTGCAATGCTCAAATCTATCACCAAAGGAAAAAAAAATAACATATATTAAAAAATGGACTCAGAATGTGCCTAAAAAGGTTCTCCAATATTATATGAAGATGCATAAATGAGCAATGACCATCTAGAGGGTAAAATCTGAAAGTACCACCTGAATGGACCTCGGTTGCCAAACGACCATCCAAAGGATCCACCAAAATTCTGGGAGATTTTATTATCGTCCATCACCAAAAAGCCGAATAATAACATCATAAAAAAACCAATAGCAGCCAAAAACAAAATGGGCATTGCAACTAAGTCCCCTCGGCAACAGTTTTGGATTGGATTGCACTTTGAATCAAGCTAGAGAGATTGATTTGGCATTTGACAGCATTGTTAAATCTCCTATCCTTTTTCCCCTCCATATATATATAGTAAACGGCATAGCAAATCAAGAGATAAGCAAAAGGTTTTTTTAGTTCATTTAAACCATGAAGCTCATGAATGTGATTGAAGATCTGAGAGAGGCTGTAATGTTTATAAGGATGCCAAAAGTGTAGTCACACTAAAAAAATTAGTGGTTTACTGAATCCTGGCCTTCAGTGCAGAAAGAACAATGCTGGTCAACAGAAATATTATGGGAGGAGAGAACAGCAGTTGCTTTTAGTCCCCTGACCATAGCAAGCCAAGTAAAAGAAGAATACTTGATAGCGTAATGCTTGTGCCAAATATATTTCTACCAAGGAACCATCTCATAATTCTCATAAAAACCAGATATGAAATATTTGAGTTTGGGTATAGAAAAGTAAATACAAAAAATGCTGTCCGATTCCAAATTTGCATAAATTTTGAAATCAGATATTTGGGCAGGGAATGAATCTAAATTCATCTAACTATCCTCCCCAAGGATGGAAGAGAGGGAGCTATAGCTATTTAAATTTTCAGGTTCTTGAGTTCCTTGAACTTTTCCTAGCACACCAAAATCCCAAAGTAAAGATATGTTATTCCCCGCTATGAATCTTGTAAGTGATACTGGGCCTCATAAGAGCAATATTGTTTAAGAAAATTTTCTAGATAAAAGAGCTTTTTGGCGGTTGGAGGATGCCAAAGGTTGCCATAATTGTTAGTCCACCAAATAGAAAGAATATTCTTGGAGTCCTTTAGACAACGCCAAACAAATGAGCAATTAAAGGCATGGTAAAGAGCATGAATAGATGGAAGCCCGATATCATCTATATTCTTAGGCAAACATGTTTTTACCTAGGAGATTTAATGCTATTTCTTGGCCTGAATATTACCATGGTATAGAAACCCAGAACAAAATTTAGATATGATCTTACAGTAGTTCTTAGGAATAATGGCATTGCGGATATAGTAAGCTATGGTGTTAGAGATAGAGAATTTTAAAAATTGAAGTCTTCCTGTAAAAGAAAGAAGGGGTTTTTCTTTCCACCCTTCAAGCATAGAAGAAATTTTGCACATAAGGGGATTGTAGTCAGAATTAAGGAGCCTTTTAAATGCAAGAGGACTGCCCAGATAGGTAAGAACCCAACTGGCATTGTTGATCTTGAGCAAATCAGAAAAAAGATGTTGCCCCTGAAAGCTATTTGAGAATATGGCTGAGCTTTTGGTGGGGTTAAAAGAAAAACCAGATAATTCCTTGAACTGATTCAAAATAGCTTTCAAACTCCTAACATTTTGTAGGTTACCCCTCCCAAAAACTAAGTCATCAGCGTACAACATGTGAGAGAGATGGAGGTCATCCATTTGAATACCTGTATACTCATGAGAAGCAATGGTGGACTCAAAGAGGTTAGACAACCATCCATGGAAATGCATAAGAGATGAAGGGGGGTAGGGGATAGTGGGCAACCTTATCTAAAACTAGAAGAGTGAAAAAATCCTACTCAAGATTACCATTGATGCAAATAAAGAAATACACATTATGAATGCAAGCTTCAACCCTGGTTACGAACATCTAAGGGAAGCCTTTCTACCTCATACACTGAATAATAAAAGCTCTGGATATTATATCGAAGGCTTTATATATGTCCAACTTAGCATAAAAGAAGTCCATAATCTTGTTGCATTTAATCTCATGAAGAATTTCTTTTATCAAAAGAATATTATCAGTAGATCTGTGGATCAATCCAACTTGGCTATGATGAATTTTGAATGGCATAATGTGTTTTGAGTCTACAAGCAAGGATCTTTACAATGTTATTGTAAAAAGTGTTGCACAGGGAGAAGGGCTTGTAATCATTGATACCACCGGCATGAGCGGACTTGGGAATTAAAGCGATGGAAGTGGCTTTAGCCTTTTTTTGGGATGTAGGATTTGTGAAAAAAATGTTTCACATCTTTAAAAACATGATCCCATTTCATAGCTTTACAAGCATGATCCCCCACCACATCCCAACATGTGTTGTAAAACTCAAAAGTGAACTCATCAGGCCCAGGTGCAAAATTTTTGAAAGAGGAGCACACAACATTTTTTATGTTATCATCAGTGACAAGTGAAGTGAGGATGGATGCAAGATGTTGAGGAATTCTGCAACCAGTAGTGGGTTTAGTAAATGTAGGATTTGGGGTTGTAGTGTTTAAAATGTGTTATAGATAGCAAGGCTCAAAATGTTCCATTAGTTCCCTGTGTTGTATCAAGGCTCAAAATGATTATCAACTTGATTTAAGAAATCACATTACTAGTAGATTTTGCTTCAATAACAATGAAGTCAATCTATCTTGACTTATAACATTGATTATTTCCTCATATTACTTCTATGATGACAAACCCTCAGGATGACATCTTTCTCCTTATTAATTCAACTAGGGACCCCCATAGTTCGAAATTTTTTTTAATGCCCTCTTATATTCTTAACTTGAGAGGTAGATGTAGAAGTAAAAAATTTTGGTTGGATAATTTTAGAAATAATATTTTTTATTAAATTTAAATGAGAATTTAATTCTTAACTAGACAATGAAGAAAAATAATTCATGTAGCTGATCCCACGCAATGGGATAAAGGCTTGATGTTGTTGTTGACTCTTATATTCTTAACTAATTCATGGAACAAACCCTTTATATAACTGCCTGCATCCACTATTATTTGTAGCATATCATAGTGTTTAATGATGATCAATACCGTCATGGCATTATCATAAATGCTCTAATATGCAAGAAGATCATTGTTTGTGAGTGTGATTGGTAGAGTAGTAGGGTTAAGGGAATGAATCTCATACGCAGTTCAAGTCACTACAGAATTCATTTTCTGGATGCTTCAAAATTCATTGCCCTATCTATAATGAAGTGTATAGTGCTAGTTACATGGTTCAAGTCCTCATCTACCCTTCTTTTAACGACTTATTGATTAAAGATTTGAGTACTTAACCATTCTAGGTATCATGTCCATGATCATTGTGATACTTGTAAATTTTGGAGGAGTTATGATTGTTGGGAGGTAAGATCACATATCGAGCAAAAACAAGAAAGTGAAAATACAACTAAAAGGAAAAGCGCTAGGATTTGATATGGAAAAACTCAAAATAGGAATAAAACTATGGAGCCACATCATACCAAGAAATTCATTATGAAAATAGAAGACATTGTGCAGATCTCTTTCTCTCACTCTCTCCTTCTCTCTCTCTTCACTCTTTACACCATTTTTCTGTAGAACTGACAAAGAGACAAATTAACCATCTTAAGGGATGCACCCCTTCTAGCTAAATATGAAAATCGAGAAAAAAAAAATTGTCCAGGCTAACTCGCAACACTGTGACATGTGGTTTGGAGCGCTTAAACCCAAGCAGAGAGACCCCCTCGCAACCCCCAGATGAGCTTGGTTGACGGAATTGAGTTCTGAGTCAATAATATAACCTGATTGATCGACACAATTATAATCCACACAGAACTAACAATGATGTCTTATCTTTCGCATCACAGCACACCAATTTTAAATATTCTCTTCTCTGTATTCTTAACACAATTGTGACAAAAGGTTGTTTAAGTGCAAGTAGATTATCTCATAAAATCTTTCATACAGGTTTTTCCTATCATCATAGTGTTGATGACTTGATTCTGGTGAATTAGTTCAATTCTACCTAAAAAATCTACATTATAAATTTCTTCTCATTTCTGCCCAAGTTGAGATGTTCTTTTAACGGTTCCTACACTTTCTCGAGTTTGCCTCAGTAAGCTTTGAGATGATGAGTTTGTGCATATAATATATGTTGACAAATCACATACCCCTTTATAGGAGATATTTCAGCTTCGTTTAGGACAGTTTTTATATTGCTTATTGAAGCAATTCTTTAGTACAAAAAATACTACTTTAAGAAGCTTTCTTAGCAATAAGAAAGCTGTCCCAAATGAAGTCTTTGTTGTCTGAAGTGAGTTTTATATGTGAGAAAACTTGAACTTCTCAGTTTTGAATACCAACGGGTTGTTTGGCTGCAAGTAGGATTTAGGCTTTGTTTGTGATAATTTTGTACTATTTTTTGAAGCAGTATTCAAGTTGGATGGTTGAAGTGGATGAGTGCATCGGACTTGTTATGTGATAGAAAAATCCTCTCAAACTTAAGGGAAAATTCTAGAAGATGATAGTGAGGCCTGCAATGCTTTATGGTGCAGAATGTTGGCCATTAAAAGAGAAGCATAATATTAAGTTGTGTTGCGGAGATGAGGATGCTCAGGTGGATGAGTGATTTTACTCTTGAAGGTAGGATATGAAATGAGCATATACGTTAAAAGGTTGGAGTAGCTACAGTGGAAGATAAGATTAGAAAGAGTTGCCTTAGATGGTTTGGTCACATAAAACGGCGGCCTTTCGATGACCCGGTTAGAAGGAAAGTAGATGTATTAGATTTGACTTATATTAAGAATGGTAGAGGTATACTTAAAGAGATTTGGTTAGAAAATATTAGAAATGATTTTTTTTATTAAATTTAGATTATAATTATATCCTTAACATGACATAATGGAGAAACAAATTTCATGTAGCCAACCTCATATAGTGGGGTAAAGGCTTGTTGTTGTTGTTAAAGTAGTATTTTAGTTAAAAAAAAAAATTTTGAACTAGAAATATCTATATAAAAAAATTGCTTTATAAAACATTTAAAAAGTTGTCCCAAAGTCTTAGTAAATCCAGTAAATACAGAATTGTCAAGTCCTATGTGGATTAAATACTGAAAATCTGTTTGGAAAAATAGGTGTTAATTTTAATTTGGAGACTTGTAAGCGAAGAGTTTGAATTCTTTCAAATTCAATCGCTCCTTAAGTGACGGCATGAAAGAATCAATCAAATAACTTACATTATTTCCTGTTTTATGAGGCCATTTAGATATGTGGCGCCTGGCTAAAGTTGTTGAATTGGGAGTACCGACCTTATGGTTGCTGTACAAATGAACTGGAGTTTAAATAAAGAACTGAAAATGCTTATGGGAGTTGTGAAAGAATATGAAGTAAAAAAGATACTATAAAAGTATAAATTATTAAGGGGCTGTTTGGTTGCCTGCAAAGTAAATGCAATGTAAAGTAAATGCAGTGTAAAGTAAATGCAGTGCATTCCATATACTCTGAGGCTGTTTGGTTGTATGCAAAGTAAACACATGAGAAATGTTTCCCTTGTTTGGTTAGATATATCCAGAGTAAAGTAAAACAGTGCATTTGTAATATTTTTTTTGTCATTATAACTAATTTATTTATAAAGTAATCACCGATTGTTTAAACTTTGTTTGGGATAGCTTTCTTCTTGCTTTCTAAAACAGCTTTTTAGTACAAAAATTAACTAATAAACCGTTGTAAAAAATAATATGAAAGATGTTCCAAATGAAGCCTTCCAAAACTCTCAAAACGGAGCAAAGTGAGCTGCGTGGCATGGATATTTTTACATGACTACCAAAAGAAAACACAATAAAGACTACTTGACGTTGACATCCGTCTTCAACCACTCTAATTTACTACATCCGTCTTCAACCACTCTAATTTACTACACTTTCAGCATAAGTTGCTAACAAGACGAGGCATATAGTGGCAGAGACAATACACCAAATTTAACTGCAGCTTGTGAATTACCAAGACTTTAGATATAATTCCACCTTTGAACTAAGCAGCACTCCACAAGAATGAATGAATGAAAATGGGAAAAATACAGCTGCCACCAAATAATTGAAACAAGGCTGAACCATATTAGCCCAGTTCAACATCAAAATTCACCACTAAATACAATAGCAACCAATGCAAAATCGCAAAGAAATTTCCAGTTGACATTGGCTCATTTCTCTAGTATATCATCACTTGGAGGAGTAGGCTTCCAACAGGTCGAGCAGAGGTATTCAAGACAAAATGTCTCCACATATTCACAGTTGCTAATACACCGCCCGCATTTTACACACCTTGAAATGCAAACATTACATGCCCTGCATTGTTCAGGCCCCTTGCTTTGGCAACTTTCTAACGAGCAATCAAATACAAGCCTACACTTTTGACAAACAGGAAACATCTCAATATCAATGGAATAATCATCATCATCGTCATCACAAGCTAGAGATGAAATGCTGTTGTGATAGAACTTAAGTTTATGAACTTTCGATGGATGCAGTTCATCGGTACTTATTAAAAATCTCAATTCTTCAAACTGTTCTGGAGATGCAATGAATAGCCTACCAAGTTTTAGGGCTTTCAGTCCTGGCATCCCTGACAACTTGAGAATCTTGAGGCTGCTAATGACGCCCTCAGCACTCAGCCTCAGACACTCAGGTATGCTTAACTGCATCAGAAAAATCAATGGCGTTGACATCTTTATTGAAACTTATGCTCATAATGTAACTTACTGGATCGGCATGAAAAAATCCATGAGATAGAATCTGCTCAAGATAAGATTCAACTGCATACCTTCCCAACCTGGAGAAAAATAATCATCTTGATCTTAATTAAAGTGCCAAATTAAGATAAGAAAGATAAAAGAAGAACTTTTGTGAGTTTATTTGTTGATGAATACAAACCTGGGACAAAGACATCCATATTGTAAATAAATTTTCATTTAATTTTGTCATAAGCAAATGATAGAAATCAGCTGTAAGTGAATCAACCCAAGTCAAAACCACAAAATAAAATACTCAATATGTTCTCGTAGGCATAACAAAAAAAAAAAAAAAACACAAAAAAGTTTATAGTTATAACAAGTTTAATGCGTTATGCAAATCTTCAACAACTTCAATCAGTTTCCTAACTCTTTACGCATCCATCTAACCTTCGAATCTGTAGGTTTTGAAAGGAAAGATGTTTACATGCGAAATCAATCAAAATTATATTGCAATCTTCTCAAAATTAATCTAATGATTTTAAGACACATCCTTACCAAAAAAAAAATCATTCAGATATCCTAAGCCATTTTATTTCCACCATGAGTTCGTTTAAACATACAAGCAACATGAACCAACTCCTAAATGTAATGTATTGATTTTCAAAATTTTAAAATGATTGTGCTGTTTAACAGTACAAACACAGAGAGACTTCTATAAATTCCCCCACCGCTAAAAAAAATACAACTCATTCTGTGCCCTAAGTAGTGAAAGGCAAAGAAAGATCTGGAAGAAGGAATACATGGTGAATTCACGGCTAACTTCAAAAAAACGTAATTTTCTTTTGCAAAAATGGAGCAATTTACCCGAGGGACTGTTTGCCAACAGGATTTACGCAGGATTTGAGCAGGATTTAGCTGCCAAACGGTATTTGAGCGCCCCCCCGTAAATCTGGGTTACGGCGGAATAAATCCTCCGTTTCCCTCTTTTTTCCGTAAATCCTGAATTTGCTAAATCCTCTAGTTCGACGGATTTACGGGATTTGGTCGGAGAAGCGCGTGAAAGAGAGAAAGTACCTCCGGAGCTACTCGCCGGATCGAAGTCGAACGAGAACGAAGCTTCGCTTTTCTCCTCTCGATTGAAGCCGAACAGAACGAAAAGCTAGGCGAAGAAGCCTCTCGATTGAAGCCGAACAGCACGACGAAACTTGGCGAAGAAGCCTCTCGATTGAAGCCAAACAGCAGGACGAAGCTTCGCTTTTCTTCCGATGAATTTATAACCCGCTCAATACGAGCGGGTTTCTAATTCCCGCAAAACAGCCTCCTTAATACACTCCTAACGCATCATCCGAGGAATACCATTTGTTCCGCTTAAAATTAACCAAACATCCAAATTTAATAAATACAGGTAATTGGTTTACTTTACACTCCTAATTCAGGCAACCAAACAGCCCCTAAGTTATTTCTCCTAACGTGAGTCAATCTTCTTCTCCCAAGAATAAATTTTTTTTTTTTTTTAAGTTTCAAATGGAGATAATGTTAGAAGATCTTCTAAAAAATCTTCCCATGCCAGTTCCATCTTCTCCCCTTAGCCTTCTGAATCTCCAAATGAATCTTGCTGGCATTGTAGCTGCTCTTATTGAACTAGAACTTACTAGTAGTTTTTTCTCTTGTAAAAAATATAATTAGTTTGATAATAATCATATCTTAATGATTGATATTTTAGATATTACAAATAAATTGTTATAAGTGTTACAACAAAATATCAAGATATTTTGAATACAACTAAAGTGTTAAAAGTATTTAAGCAATGATTATAGATAACACAGGAGAATTGATGGGAGTTTTTTTTATTGGGTGAAGTATCACTTTTTACAATATTTTGAAATTGATGTTTTAAATTTGAACTTTGACACAACTCTCTTTGGCCTATTGGTTGAGAGCTTAGGCTTCCAACTAAGAGGTACAAGGTTCGAGTCTTTGTGTATGCGTTGTGTGTGTGAGTTTGCCTTAATTGGCCTAAATGTCCCAAAAAAAAAAAAAAAAAAATTGAACTTTGCATCTAAGGCTTGTTGATGATCACTATGGAGAAGGAGAGAGAGAGAGTAAATTTGTAATTATGCAATATTATTAGAAAATACAAAATAGATTGTATAGTTTGTAATTATTTTTCAATTCATCAATTAAATTGAAATACAAAATTTTTATTTTTTATGTCACAAAAAATTAGCTTGATCAGGCACGAAACTCGACGCAAATATGAATATGATGCTCCAAAAAATTAATTTTGGGACCATCCTAATTCCTACTTCAACAAGTTTATAGTCAAATTGAATATCCCAACGATACTAAAATCAATCTAATTCGAGTCCAAAGGAGCCCAAATCAAGGGTCCAAAACATATTTGGAGGGTTCAAAGAATTAATTGGATAACCAAATAATCATTGAATTAGGCATTCTTATAATTGAATCGAGCGGCTCGACGAAACAAATCTAACGAGCCCAATATCATGAAATTCTGATATCATTAAGGTGCTTAAAAGTTCGATCAACGCACCACAATCAAGGGGATCAATATGAGTCATCCATTGAAACACTCCCAATATCTCATTGGTCTTCTCTATATTTACAGGGCATGCGACTCTTAAAAAACTATAAACATACCTTCATTTTTTTTTCTTTTTTTTTTTTTTG